GTGCCAAAATACTTTTTCGTTGCTCAAGCACTGATTTAGGGTCGGTCTGTTTGTTGGCAGACAATTTTATTTTACATTACATTACATGTTTTTTTGGGTTTTTTTTGCTATTAATCATACTAGCTTTAATTGCATGCTTTTTACATTGACAGAAATTAACAGGGTGTTTATAATTAATTGTAAATTTATACTAAATATAAATGTCACAACATTGAATTTAAATTTGTTTTTTTACGATCAGAAATCAATCGAAGGATTGTAAAAAGGAGGGTTTTACAGTACAGATGCTGTTCCAAATACATCAACAGATGGTTATGAAAATGTGAATACACAGTGTCATTTTAAAGATCATAATAACAAGCACATGGAAATGAGAAAATATGCGAATCATGCACAGATGAAAGTCTATAAAAGAATATTCAACCCAATTCAAAAGTTCAGATGACATTTTGTCTTTACCCCAACCTAATTTTAGTGGTGGAGTAGAAAAGCATTGTTAAAAGTGTTTACACTGGGTATTTTTGAACCGCCTTCTCTACATGCCGCTTGGGAATTTATTGATATTTTGGCGGGAACAATGGCTGGATTTGTTTTTCATTGATATTTTGTGGATATTTCCGATTGCCGTTTTAACGAAGCGTGATTTCGCAGCCTTCGCCACTGGAGGGATGGTTACAATCGAAACGGTACACTCAACCTGGTACAGTAACAAGTAAATGGTTTTTTTTAGATATTTGTAAATAAAGTATAAAAGTAACCATGGATTATTGATGTAGTTAATTGCTTGATTTATCTGGCTAATTGTCATCAGCCCAACAAACTGTTCTCTGTTTAATGTCTGCTTCAGGCTAATTAACAATAAAAAGCAAGCTTCATTGGGGGAAAAGGGGGGGGGCCCTAATTGAAAACTTGAGGGTTAATAATAATATATTTACTCTATTATATTACATAAAATATTGGTTGGTGTATCAGACCCACACTCGTAACGTGTCACCAATTTTCCATGACTTGTGCATATTTTAAAGTTTGGAAATTAGTGGCATAAATTCCCTTTCATAAACCGTGTAAAGTTAAAATACAAAGTTAAGTTTCTCTTGTGCTTAATAATGCTTCTGGGGTTTTTTTTACTTTAACAAATGTGGGTTTAATTTGCATAATAGAATGATCTTGGTAGGGACTCTGCATGCTCTGCAAAAAACAAAAGCCTATTGAAACCAAGTGAACAGCAGTGTCGTGTTGCAAACGCAGTTTACAAGCGGTCTGTCTATACAATTGCTCACAGTGAATTAGTACTAGGAATGTGTTAAATTATTGAATGAGCCATTGGTGCAAAAGGAGTTAAAAAAAACACTAGAATTTTTAAATATTAGGCCAAATAATAAATAAAGCATGTTTCTCACCCTCTACTGCATTTTTCGCTGACTTTCACAATGCAAAATGTACAGAAATTCCAGTGAAAAATCTTCCCTTGGACAAGAGAAAAAAGCTTTATCCTCTAATATTTAAAAATCGTAACCAGAAACATATTTCTATTATGTTTTATTGGACATTAAAAAAATTGTTACAAAAGCATAGGGAATTTTGTATCCCTTAAATGAAAGAAGGAAAACAGTAAGCAATATTGAATTACCCTAAAATTGACATTGTAGTACGTACTGTAACCCATTCGGAAGGCAACATTTTCCTATTGGCTTCACTATGCATACTATTCCCCATTACGGAAAGGCCTGAAATGTTTATTGGATGTATGAATAAACTTCCTTGTGTTGTGGTGGTAAAGTTTTACTCCTTTTTAGCCAAACAACTAAATCAAAATACTGCTAAAAATGGTTTGTTTTCAGTTTCTGTAGTACTACAATTGTAAATCGCTGTGAAATGTATGCGCAAAAAAAAAAATATGTATGCGCAAAAAAAAAAATACAGTATGTGTGTAGCTCAAAAAATTCCTGATTAGACGGACCATAAAATGAATTAGTAATTACTGTAGGAAGCAGGGATAATTGATTAAGGGAGCATCTACCTGCAGAGACAGATAGTGGATGTTTATGCACGATCGGATTGATCGGTAAAGATAAGTTAAACCTATGCGCAACCAAATGCCCTTTATTACTTTCTATTAAAGTATAAAAAGATTTAACAGCTAAATAATACTTTCTAAATTTATTAGAAAAATTATCTGTGGATAGTATTTCAAGTGATAAAATAATAATCATATTTTTAATGAACAGGCATTGCAGGTACCATTAAGAGTTAAATTCCAGTTACCGGTAATCAACGCAGCATAGATGGGTCAGAGAATTCAGTGAGTTGTAGCGATAGAGCAGAGGTTATAGCAAAGTACGGGTTTGTGTTGATTAAATTTGATTGGTGGATAGTAAATACAGTATTATCTAATTACCGATGTATTTTATGTGGATTGTTATAGTCTCAAGTATCCGACCCATATGTCGTGACCTTAAAAATTTCCTCCAACTTACAATATTGGAGAAGACCCCACCCCTCCAAGAAAAAAGAAGAAAAAATCCTAATTCGAATCAACTATGCTTTAATGGAGTTTCAAATGGAGTTTCAATTGTAAGGATAGGATGGTTGTTTTTTTTAGATAAATAAAAGGTTGGTTGCTTGTTAAAATGTTTTAATGTTGTAAATATGTAATTTTGTCTGAGAAAGCATTCAGTGAATTAAAAAAAAAAAAAATACATCTCTCTACTAATGTTTTCAAAACATAAACACATATTGGGAGATGTATACATAACAAAATCGCCATTGCTGCTCTATTTAGCGCGCAATGAGAGAATGAGTTTCCTTTTAGCTTGACCTCTTTTACTCTATAGGGTGCCTCAAATGCCAGCCATAACTTATGTATGACAAAGAATTTGGTGTCTGTATTTTAAAGATCATAGCGTGGAGTGTTGAAGACGATATTAGCTTCATGGCCACATGCTGTTCTCACAAATTTTTGTACCGTGTCTCGCATATCTTGTGTTGAAAATACCAGACAGTGTGTACATGATGTAAACGTGAGAACTAAGGTCTTGGAAGTTTGCCAGGTTTGAGTTATTCAGTTCTTATACCCATTGAAACTACTCTGTAGAGATCGGTTGCGATGCAATCGGTGGTAATCCAAAGCTGATTACTGTTGATCGCAGTCAACAAAACGCATACAGACCAACACAAACTTAACATTCTAGGGCCTTGGCCTCCGGTGTTTAGGCCTATGTTGACCGACCTCAGCCAAGCAGTGCCTGTGGAATTTGTTGCGATTCGTTGCGATCGTATTCTGATAATAAAGATTGTAGCACCCAATCGCAACGGGCAACAATTGCGATATCAATTACTTATCGACTACTATTGGTGAGCTTTCACACACGATTTTACTTTGCGATTAGGTGTCGCAGTTCTTCAACCAATGCGATGCTAGTCTGAATGGGGTATTAGCCAAATTGTACTCACTGGAATAAAAAGAAAATCATATACAAATAAACAAACATGAAAAACAATCAAAACATTGTCGGAAAAGATAACCTACTTCATAATATAATACATCCCAATTTGTTTGGTTGATTCTGTTGCTGAGGATTTCTTGCTGCTTGTGGTATTTCGATCGAGTGTGGTCTAGTAGGAAAGATTCGTTTGAATTGGCCCAGATTAAATGTAATTCCGTATAAATCTGAAAATGCTATGTAGTACTTGAATCATAAGCCAGGGGATATGTTTTTATATCTCTTTGTGTTAATGTTAATCCTTTTTATAATGCGTAATAATATTTAGTAATCCAGAGTGATTTTGTAGATTTGGTACTGTAAACCTTTTTGGATAGTACAAGATTTATTTTGAATGAGGGTAGTATTATATTTAATATTGCTATCTCAGTTCACAAAGTTTAATGAACTTCAAAAACTTGACCTAAACTAATTATGAAATGAAAGATACTCACTGGCAAGCCAAATTAATCAATTGATATATTCTGTTATGGATTAAAACAAAACTTGGCACATGTTAAACATTTTGCCTTAAAGAGGGAAATTGGCATTTATAGAGCTTAGGCCCTATAAAAGAATATTATTAGTTTACTGTATCTTGGCTGGAAAAGTTATGAGGGAGTGGGGCTTTTATTTATTTATTTTTTTTATTTTGCTTAAGCCAAGTATCGCCCAAAGGTGATATTCAAAGAT